CTCCTAAAGCACTCGTACGCACAACTTAAGAACAAATCTGTGCATATGAACGATTTTTGCATGAGGCCCAATGAAATCACAGTCTGGGTGGCGCGGCAGTTCAGTGGTTAGATCTGTTGTCTCACAGCAAGAGGGTGGCAGGCTCACTTACCTGGAGCTTTTATGTGTGGAGCTCACATGTTCTGTCACAGGGTAAAGGCTTGGGAAATCGTGTTCACATGAACCGTTATGGCATTTTTATGATTGTATTTGTATTTGGCTCAGCTAAATCTAACTCTTAGCTAATCAATTCAGTCGGGTTTAATCAAGATGAGGTTGTTCATCAAGCTTTTTACACTAACCCTTTTCACATAACTCCAGTTTTTTTTTAAAAAAGAGATTGTAAAACAAAAACATGATTTCTCATTTTTCCTATTTTTTTTGCCCTATATTGGGGTCAGACTGAGATTTTTTTTAATTATTTAATTTACAAGAATAAAGTCAAAATATTACAAGAGTAATCCTGCATTAAAATGAGGAATGTTTATGGTAATGAACTGAAATTATTAACTGAATTAATTAACTTTATTCTCATAATAAAAAATAAAATAAAATCTTGTAGTCTGGCACTAATAACCTGTTGTATGAAAGACCGGATTTCTGTGCTGTAAAGGGAAAAAAATGTGGGGGTTTTTGTTTTTGTTTTTTGTTTTTAATAGCAGAAGAGTATTAATTGCAGAGTTGCTAAACAATGCTCTAACAAAGGCATTTGTCTTTTAAAAGGTGTACAAATGTAGTATACAGGCCTTCAAAATAGCTCCAGCCTTGTAAATGCAGATGGCACACTGCAGTGGGTCAGATTTGATAGCAACAGATCAAAGGAGCAAATCAGCAAAACCTCAAGGCAAGACATGGTGGACTTAGGAGCAGAAACAATGTCAATAAAACTTGATGGCCAAGTTGAACATTGGTACATAAAGATCACTGTCAGATCAACAACTTCTATCCATCCGTCTTCCATTCAACATGCATGTTTTTGATTTGTGGGCATGCACAGGGAGAACATGCAAACTTCATACAGAAAATATGGAAGCAAACTTGCAACCTTCTTACTATGAGGTGACATCTCTAACAACTACGCTGTTGTGCTACTTGTTTGATAACTTTATGAGTTTTAATCTATTTTTTTAAATACCCATTACAGCTTCTGTCTGCGTTTCTTTTAACTCAATGCTAAGACATTAAATGATTGTTCAGATAATGACATGCTGGCAATTCTTTGACAGAGCACTCCAACATATTTAGTCAGTCTAAATTCATGATTTTGAGCTTCCTTTATTTCAGACCCAACCAGCCACCCACTCACTTAAAAAAGACTATGTCTAAACTATGTCGAAACAACGCCTTTAACAGACTGATCTCTTTTACTGTTCGCCCACTCTCTTTGTTTAGTGTAACCTGAGTCTAGGACAAGCCTCTTCGCTGTAGCAATGACTGGGTGATGCTACACCTTGTATTGTTTTTTTTATTGTGGTTTTTTTTCTTTCTTTTCTTATTATTTTATTTTTATATAACATCGTCCACTTCAATTATTTTCCAAATGTATCCTTCAGTATTAGTGCATTTTAACAGCATTGTTTGCCTTTTTGATATAGATTAAAAAAAACATTTAGTATTTAAAAAAAACAAGACCAGGAAAAATGGTAAAATCTTTCAACTGATTTGCATATTATGTGTTTATTAACATAATTATGATTAAATTAAACACTTGAGTGCATTGTTGACCAAAAATAGGTATGCTAGGATGTGTGGTGCCTCTGAATTTTCTCTAGACATGAGTGAGAGCATCATTGTGGTCTTATGTGTCCCTGTGATGAACCTGTCCTGGGTGTTCCCTTACTTCTGCTGGAGATGGACACCAGCCCCTATGTGACCCAGAAAGGAAAAAGCAAGTAAAAAAAATGGATGGATGGATGCTCTGCTTGGTCATATTGTACTGTCTGACCTCAATGATGGAGCCTTGAGCAGGCAGGCTGTGTGTATGTTTGTGTGTGGGTGGGGGTGGGGTGGGTGGGGGGTTGCAAGCGCATGCGTGTTGGTGTCTGTGTGACCGATTCACACTTACACACTCATGCTTTATATTTCTCTTGCTGCGTCTGCCATGAGGAATTTAGAGTGTGTCCTTTCTGTCCTTCCTTACAACAAATATGAATAAAYCCAATTTAAACAGTAAACTTGTGCAATTGCTGCAGAATAATATGTATTACAGTGACACAAAGGGGTTAATTATGAGATACACAGGCATCAGCAGTTTCACCGGCTTACCTCAACCTTTGCGGCTGTCAGCCGTCTGACAATATTCAGTGTGACTYTACACTCCATGGCGTTTCTTACTAAATAATGATGGCGCCTGTCTAACAACTCCACCWGCCGTGCAGCTCCCCTCACAATTCCAATCAGAATATAGAATCAAGTCTTTTATAATTTCCTGCCTCCTAAATAGAGCTCTATTCGAACAGCAAAACTCAGATCAACTACTTTTCTCCATCCCCACGCACACACACAGCTTTGCCAGGCCAATGTGCAGGTAACAAATCATTTATTTAGAGTCAATCACAACACGTACACTGAGCATGACATCTTGCGTTGTTTAATGAGATTGCACATATTATTTTCAATGTTTGACTAGAACAGCCATAACTACTATTCCTCATCATAAGAAGAAAATCTAAAACTCTGGAATGGAAAGCAGAGGGAAATATAAAATATTTTATGAAAGCTAGGTCTTCGATTCTTATATTTATGTGTGTGTGTGTGTGTGTGTGTGTGTGTGTGTGTGTGTGTGTGTGTGTGTGTGTGTGTGTGTGTGTGTGGGTGTGTGTGTGTGTGTGTGTGTGTGTG